TTATAAATCTAGCATCCATATTTTCAGAATTATCTCCTCCTTAAACTTTAATTTTCCTATTCGTTCTTTTAACTTTCATTAATTTTACTTCAAATTCAAAATAAACATTTCAATATTCATACCTTCATAATACTAATTGTTCTTTGTTACACTCACATCATGTATGACATTGTTATCTCCTTTTTAAAAATTTTTGCTTTTAAAAATGTTATATTTTGATAACAGGGATGTTTTAAAAAATAACTTTAGAGTGTCTTTTCAGTCCGTCTGTCTGTCTGTACATAAAAACTGTTTCCTGTGATCACTTTTAAAGAACTTTTTCAATAAATTTACTTAAAATAGAAACATAAAAGTGAATGGCCAATGGCCCTTCAGAATGTTGCTTGGGCTCTTACCGGTAGTGGACCTATGGATTGCTTGCAATACTATGATAATTGCTTGTTTACCCAGTTAAAAATCGCAATAATTTTCTAAAAATAATTGATTTACAGACTCAGGTTTTTGTCTGTCTGCAGAAATGGTTATTAAGTTGGACAACTGTTTCAATATCATTAAGTCGTTATGTATGCTGCACTTCAAAAGCTATAATTTTAATATGTACCTATTTTAGGTCCTTACAATTCTTAATTGGAAGGTTATACGTCAGTAAACTAATAGTCACTTAACCAAGGAAAAACATTCTGTCTGATAACTTTTCAGAAAGCTGTCACTAGAATGGGGTCATATAGACCCTTAGATTCTAAAAATTTCACAAGAACATGCTTTTTTCTGTTATGCACATTGTGATGTACATCCGTACCCCAATTGTGACAGCTTTACTACTGCAAAAAAGATATCACGATTGAAAAATGGCATTATAAATAGGTTAAAATTGATTATACCATTTGTCTGAAGTTGAGTTTGTCAAAAAATTTCTCCATAATTCATAAATGATTATATTTAAACATTGTATGACAATTTTTTATGTGGTACAGTTTTATATTTTGTTAACTGATTGAAAAGTGGTTGTGAAATTTTGAAGAACAGGAAAATGGGGTCAGTAATGATTTGTCCTCGATTCATAATAATAATTCAGGTAAAATTTTAAAAAGTTGTTGCATTTATTAGCTTGAAATGATAATATTTGCAGAATTGTAAAAGAAATTTTTATTTTATAATTTCACTGTCAGTTATTATAGCAAAAATCTGTTAGCTGATCGGAAAGTGGCAGTACGGGGATATGTTATTGATATAATTGGAGATGTATAAATAGCTGTGGATTTGAACCATGAGTTAGTTGGGTATTTTACCTACTCCAGGTAAAATGTATATTTATTATGAATGATATAAAAGAGAGATAACTCTTTATATGACTTATAAGAATCTCCCAATCATTTGTAAGGATTGTTACTATTTACTATTTCAGTGCCCTACTTGTTTCACATGCTTATAATGATATGTAGACTGATGGTTGGTTTACAAGATGTACCGGTATACTTTGTGTATTATTCAGATGAACTGTTGAAGATAATGTAAAACATTTGCGTTGTCAATAAAACTACATAAAACGAATCCTGAAGAGAGATTTTGTAAGCGAAATAATGAAACCAAGACTCTCGAACGAGATACCCTCAAGCCCTTCCCAAAATTACATACATTGACAGTTCAGATGCTCAGAGAAAAAGATTATTTAAACCATTACAACCGGAAGATAAAAACAATAATAATTGTCTCATGTTTTATTAACTCTGTTCAAAAGAGCGTATTAAAAACCAAAACAAAAATACCGATTTGAAAATTGAAAAAATGATGTTTAAAACGATAAACACCATTTATGGAAACCGTTGTTGAGAGTACTATAATACACCTTTTCTTAACTAATAGGTAGTAGCAGAGTATAATTAAATCAAGAAAAATTTGCGACAAAATAGCGACATACATTTATAATGTTTCGGGTAATTTCCGCAAAATTCCGTTAACCTTATAACGTTGCCTGTCGAGACGTTGCATAAGGATTTTCAAGAGTTATGTTTTGGAGAAACATGAGCGTAGTGAGGAGTTGAACCATCTTTGACACCGCACAATAGAGAAAAAAAAAAATAAAAGAATATCGAGTAGTCAAGGCGGAGTGTTAGTTAAGAAGGAACACGAATAAAATTACTTGGGAAATTGTTTATATATGATTTGTTTCATTCAGTATCAAAATTTTTTATGTACATGACACTATTATTTTTTATATCGTATATATTCAGATACTTCAGGTAGTGAACGTAGCCCCGCCAAGCTATGTTCAGTTGAGTTCTAATAAAAGTAAGAAAAAATATATAAGACAACTGATTAAATAATAATATTAATAACCACACTTACAAATAACAAAAATTTGAGAAATATGACATTATGGAAATAAATTTTATCTATACAGGAAGCGGGAAGTGAACAACGAGAGAACAAAATTTGATGTATATGTAATAATAATATCATCAGAAAATAGAACTCACGGATACATAAAATAAATCCCTCACAGTCAATTATTAAAAAATTAATGTATAGTAGAATAGGGTGAACATCGTAATATCACTATTGTTAACCTCTCTTCCATTAGAAAATGAACCCTGTACAAGCTTATAACTGGAAGAGTAGATGCCCTCAACCAAAAATGGACGATGGGCAAGGCGGTTAGGCACAGGCTTAGGCTTAACAACAATACATGTACAAAGACACATAAAAATATTAAAGGAAATAAAGTGAAAGAACTATGTAAAAAACATATTATACATTGTTTATCTTCTTTTACCGTGATCCACTCAAATTCTTCCAGTGCCAGTCTCTTGTCGCCTCTACGGATAGTGCGACATATAGGGATCACTCTCCGTCGCTGTCGTTCTGTCTGTCGTCACAAAATTTGTCCGACACCCTCATAAACCACTGTGCAATTCATCCAAACTTTACAGATATGATCAGTACCGAAGTGCTAGTGGCAATGTCAAGCAATTTCCAGGTTCCACACCTGATTTGCTAAGAGTAATGGCCCTTTAAAATTTACTTTTAAAGTTTGTCCGGACTTACTCTCTATACCACTAATGATTTTCCAATGAAATTTACAGGATTGATCGTAGCTCAAGTCCATAGCGCAATATTGCAAAGTTTTTCTTGTAGACATATTTTGGGTCGAGTTCGCCCTTTGATAAAAGGTGTTTCTGTGTATTGTCAGGGGTACAACAAAAGTTGTCCGACTACTACTCATAAACTACGAGGTGCAATTTTATCTCAAACTTACCAGGAATGATCAGTACCTTGAAGTCTGTTGTGCGCTGTCGTCTGTCTGCCGAGCCAACGTTTGATTTTATGAGCTTCAGTTCGTGAGTTAAATGTAAAGAAACATAAAACCTCATAAAATTCAAATAATAAGAAGCTATTTTTTGCCGGATTGAGCAACAGCGCTGCAAACCCGCGGTTACAGTATGTGTGAATGTCGGGCGGAATCGGAGAGCTGGAGCGAGTGGGCGCGAAGGGGGGAAAACAATTTTTTCGTAACAGTTTCTCAACAACTACTTATCACATCTAAGTCCATCTTGATATTTGGTATATAATCAGAATAAGCCAAGGTTACCCCATACAGTGGGAATTTCGATTTATCAGAGTCTGTCGCTCATGCACTTGCCTGTTTATCCACTTAGTTAAATTAGTATAGATTTCTTTTGACATTAATTGGTCCAATGGTAGGAAAAATTTCAGTAATAGTTTTTCTCACGCAACTGAGAACTATATCAACAAGCATGAATTGATATGGCATATCACACAGCATTGACCATGTAGAACAACATCACCCGATGGGAATTACACGATTCAGGTCTGTCACGCTCACATTTATCCACTTCCGTTATCCACTTTATTAAATATATTAGAAATATTTTAGACATTAAATGAGACAATGTAGAGAACATCTCCGTAAACAAATATAGAGTGTATTTATACTCACAAACTACTTATAACAGCCCTCTTCACATTTGGCATACAACATTGATCACACTGGTCCCATACTGATGGGATTTGATTATCCAGGTCTGTCGCTCGAGTTACCCGCCACTTCCTGATTTATCCACTTACGTAAAATCATTAGTATAGATTTTTACGACAAATTAAAATGGTCAAATGTCCATAGGACCTAATTTTCGTAACAGTTTCTCCCAGCACTACTTATCACAATCTCTTGATATTTGGCATAAACAGCATTGACACATTGTCTTATAATTGGATTTTGATTCAGGTCTGTCGCTCATCCACTTCCTGTTTATCCACATTCAGTTAAAATTAGTTAGATTTTCGAACATTAAGTGGTCAATGGTAGGAAAAAATTTCGAAACAGTTTTCTCAGCAACTACTTATCACAGCCTCTTGATATGCATGCAGCCATTGACACATGGTCCCATACTTGTGAGGATTTGAATTTCAAGTCTTATCAGCTCATCCACTTCCTGTATCACTTAATGTCAATGGTCAGGAAATTTTCGTAACATTTTTCTCAGAAACTACTCACAAATTTATCAGCCTCTTGATATTTGGCATACAGCCATGACATCATGGTCCCATACTGTTGGGATTTGATTTTAGGTGTGTAGCTTATCCACTTCCTGTTTACCTACTGAATTAAATTTTCGACATTAATGGGTCAATGGAAATTTTTTTTCGTAACATCGCAGCCTCATGATATTTGGTGTACAAATGCAACCCGACCTTTTCTGTCTTTGACCCATTTTTTTGTTTTTATGAGCTCATTTGCCTCATAAACATCAAATTTTGGTACGTCCGTCTGTCACAAAACTTGTCCCAACATAAAATTGGCCATCATGAGGCGACACATGTGATTACTGATCGCTCTTGTTAGTTGGGTTCTGCCATTCTTAATTTAACTAAAAATATAATCAGAGAAGTATTACGGAAAAGCAACATAAGTAAATTTTCAGTTTAAGAATAATTGTCTTGGTGATCTAAATGAAAATGGATGAGGTGCAAAAAATCAAATAAGAAAAGAGCAATACTTTTTATCTGACTTCCTTGTACATAGGCTCTGCCTTAATTTATCTTATATAAGGGTGGTTTCATTATACAACAATTTTAAAAAATATATTTCTATTTATACTTTAAATTTGAAAATCTCTGATTTAACAGTACACGATATAAATCTTAGTTAAACTACATTAAAACAAATGACAATAAACAGCCATTGCAATCAGGAGTTAATATTGAATGACTTAATGTTACATATTCTATTACATATTTTTCAGAAGAAAGTAGAACGTGTGAACAAAAATCAGTCGCCTTCAAATTTTTTGTATGAAGAAGAAAGCGACAGTACCCAGCCACCTTCAGACATATCAACCCAGCCACCTTCAGATTATGAAACAGTAACATATCCACACAGCCACCTTCAGATACTGACATCAACAATAATGTAATTAATTTACAATTATTTTTTTCTTTGTAGGCCATTTTCATGAACATTATTATTTTCATATCACAAAACTATTTCTTTATAATTATTTTAATTATGATAGATAGTTCTAAAAGCAAAACAATTTGAACCTCAAAAAATGCAAAAATTAAAATCAAAGGTTATTGTTCCTATGTAAAAGTGTTTTTTTTTTAGCAAAACATAATCACTGAATTAGGTTTTAATGTTCTAGCACTTAATTTCATTATATATAAATAAAATAAAAATTGGAATTTAGCTGTCTAAATTAATATATTTACATATTGTTGATAGAATTATTATTGGCCGGGTTGCACTGGTGCAAACCCGGGTTATAGTATGGTGAATGTTGGGCGGCGGGCGGGCGGTCGGGGGGTGAAAAAATTTTCGTAACAGTTTTCTCAGCAACTACTTATCACAGCCTTTTGATATTTGGTATACAGCATCAACACATGGTCCCATACTGTGGGATTCTATTTCAGGTCTGTTGCTCATCTACTTCCTGTTTGCCGACCTAGTTAAATTTTCAGCATTAATGGTCAATAGTAGGAAATTTTCGTAACAGTTTTCTCAGCAACTACTTATCACAGCCTTTTGATATTTGGTATACAGCATCAACACATGGTCCCATAATGTGGGATTCAATTTCAGGTCTGTTGCTCATCTACTTCCTGTTTGCCGACCTAGTTAAATTTTCAGCATTAATGGTCAATAGTAGGAAATTTTCGTAACAGTTTTCTCAGCAACTACTTATCACAGCCTTTTGATATTTGGTATACAGCATCAACACATGGTCCCATAATGTGGGATTCAATTTCAGGTCTGTCGCTCATCTACTTCCTGTTTGCCGACCTAGTTAAATTTTCAGCATTAATGGTCAATAGTAGGAAATTTTCGTAACAGTTTTCTCAGCAACTACTTATCACAGCCTTTTGATATTTGGTATACAGCATAAACACATGGTCCCATACTGTGGGATTCGATTTCAGGTCTGTTGCTAATCTACTTCCTGTTTGCTGACCTAGTTAAATTTTTAACATTAATGGTCAATGGTAGGAAATTTTTGTTACAGTTTTCTCAACAACTACTTATCACAGCCTCTTGATATTTGGTATACAGCATCAACACATGGTCCCATACCGTGGGATTCGATTTCAGGTCTGTCGCTCATCCACTTCCTGTTTGCCAACTTAGTTAAATTTTCTCCATTAATGCTCAATGGTAGGAAATTTTCGTAACAGTTTTCTCAGCAACTACTTATCACAGCCTCTTGATATTTGGCATACAGCATCAACACATGGTCCCATAATGTGGGATTCGATTTCAGGTCTGTCGCTCATCCACTTCCTGTTTGCCGACTTAGTTAAATTTTCAGCATTAATGGATAATAGTAGGAAATTTTCGTAACAGTTTTCTCAGCAACTACTTATCACAGCCTTTTGATATTTGGTATACAGCATCAACACATGGTCTCATATGTGGGATTTGATTTCAGGTATTTCGCTCATCCATTTCCTGTTTGCCGACTTAGTTAAATTTTCATCATTTATGGTCAATGGTAGGAAATTATCTTTACAGTTTTCTTGGCAACTACTTATCACAGCCTTTTGATATTTGATATACAGCATTATCACGTGGTCCCATACAGTGGGGTTCGATTTCAGGTCTGTTGCTCATCCACTTCCTGTTTGCCGACTTAAATTTTGACATAATTAATGATCAATAGATAGTAGGAAATTTTCGTAACAGTTTTTGTCAGCAACTACTTACCACAGCCTCCTGATATGTGGTTCACAGCATTGACATGTGGTCCCATATTGTGGGATTCCATTTCAGGTCTGATGCTCATTCTTTTTCGGTTTACCAACTAAATTAAATTTTCAACATCAATGGTCAGGACAGTGGAAAAAAATTTAAGTAACATCACAGCCTCATGATATTTTGTATACATATGCAACCCGGCCTTTTCTGTCTTTGACCCATTTTTTAGCTCGACTATTCGAAGAATATGAGAGCTATTGTAGTCGCCCCGGCGTCGGCGTCTGCGTTGGTTAAAGTTTTTTGTAAAGTCAAATATCTCAATTATTGCTTGAGATATTCAATTGAAACTTACAATACTTATTTATAGTAACAAGGTACATCAGACTGACAAGTTGGATAACTCTGCCTACAATATTGACAGAATTATGCCCCTTTTTAACTTAGAAATTTTGGTTAAAGTTTTTTGTAATGTCAAATATCTCAATTATTGCTTGAGATATTCAATTGAAACTTACAATACTTATCTATAGTAACAATGTACATCAGACTGACAAGTTGGATAACTCTGCCTACAATATTGACAGAATTATGCCCCTTTTTAACTAAGAAATGTTGGTTAAAGTTTTTTGTATAGTCAAATATCTCAATTATTGCTTGAGATATTCAATTGAAACTTACAATACTTATTTATAGTAACAAGGTACATCAGACTGAAAAATGGATAACTCTGCCTACAATATTGACAGAATTATGCCCCTTTGGAACTTAGAAATTTTGGTTAAAGTTTTTTTGTATAGTCAAATATCTCATTTACTGTTTGAGATATTCAATTGAAATTTAAAACACTTTTTATAGTAACAATGTACATCAGTTTGCAAAATTGCATAACTCTGTCTGTAATATTTGCAGAATTATTTGCCCCTTTGAAACTTAGAAATTTTGGTTAAAGGTCTTCAAAGATATTTACTTGAAACTTTACACAGTCATGCACTTAAGGTCATAATTGGAGGGTCATAATTGTATGTCACTGACCTAATTTTAATAACTCTATCTTGCATTAAGCTGATTCATATCCCCTTTTCTACTTAGTCTCTTGGTTAATGTTTACATGCAAGTTTTACATATCTCAATAACTATTAAAGGTATTTATTTAAAACTTCACATATGCATTTAGGGTCATAATTGTAGGTGACTGACAAAGAACCATAATTTTATCTTGCATTTAGGCTGATTTTCTCCCCCTTTTCAACTTAGAAATTCATGGTAAAGTTTTGCTTGTTAGCTGTTATATCCATAACTACTGAAGGGTTTGTGCCTTTTTTTGGGACAATTTTATGCATTCATAATAATAAAGCAGTGATTTACTTGATAAATCATCTTAATAACAAGCCTTTGTACCTTTTCTGTCAAATTTATGTATTCATAGGTAATTAGTATTATTACACTAAATAAAACACCCTTGTGACATTACCTTCCGAATAGTCAAGCCAATACTGTATAATTAGACTCTCTCTAAGGCCTATAACATGAATTTATTAAAAAAAAATAGCCCTTTTGTAAACTTAAAAAATTTAACATTGTCAATGCTCTTTTACTATCAAGCACTTAGAATAGTCGAGCGTGCTGTCCTACCGACAGCTCTTGTTTATATATTACAGTTGAATAGATACAGTACAGATGAGGATGATGATGATGAAGAAATATTTGTAGTTTCTTTGACAAAAGAGGTTTAACTCGTAAAATTTAAATCTTTATATATCAAAAAAAGTAGCCTCATTAGATTCTTTTAAGAACAAACTATGACAATGATTTAAGAAACAAATTATTACATAAATTTCAATTATATAATATTATGTACAATGTATGTAAATTTGAGATAATTATTTGTTCAATGATATAATATAATACCATATATTATGATAAAATAAATCATTATTTATGTTTAATAATTCTTTTTTCATTTTAATTTCAAAACTTAGGAAATTGAAAACAGAGATTTGGTTCCAGATTCATATTGTCCATCTTGTGGAGCGTTAAGATATATCAAAAGATCTGCACTGCAGACTGTAAAAAATAATACATCATAATTAATATTTATTGATTTATTATTTGCAACAATTTTATACAAGAAAATGAATATTATAATATAATACTAATAAAAAATAAGACAAATTTTTTTAATTCTCTTTTATTGATAATCATGAATGTTTGTTGTTTGTTTGGCACAAAAGCATTTTATCTGTCTGCTTTAGTTGACTGTCCCTATTATAATTAATACAGGCAATGATTGATTTTGAAATGACTTACATGTGTAGCTCATTAAGAGGGTGTGGTGTGTCTTACTATATTTTTACTGGGTTACTAATCCAGTCAGGGGATTTTTATATATTTTGACCTCTTTATGGTAGCTAACATGGGTTGTAAGTGCAATTGATAATTGCATTCTTTTGGTAACTTTACAATATTGTACTTTTAAAAACATTTCCAAATTTTCATGAAAATTAGCATGAACCTGGACAGGTGCTGCTTCAAAGTTCATATTTCATTACACTTGTGCAAACATATATTAATTGATGCATTTTAAAATTACTTGGCCAAACTGTTTAGCACAAGATTAAATATTGAGAAATATGATGCATGTTGTAATGAAATTTTAAATTTCAGGAAATAAATCAAAGCAACAGTGACAGTGCATAGAAAGTTACTTGTAGCAAAATAAAAGGTAAATACAATGGATATATCAATTACTGTTGGTGACCTCATAAATTTTTTTGAAAAAAAAATGGAAAAGACTTTTGTTTGAAATGGCTAATGGAAAAATCAGAACAGCCTGTAACTAAAGTTAGTTTAAAAAAGAAAATAGAGAAGATAATAAACCAATACAAGAACTTGCAAAAATCTAAAAACAAACATTTCTATGCTGTGAAATTTGAAAATTTCTGTAACCAAAAATTTGATTTTCCAAAGATACAAAAACAGAAAAAGCAAAATGGTGTGGAATTAGAGTTAAATAAATTGAAGACGGAAGACTTTGAAATTGCAAATAATGTCATTATTGGACTTTCAAAAGATTTTGGTAAATGTTGTAAAGAAAATGATGAATTGCTAAAAGAAAACCATAACCTTAAAGAAAATATTAAAATCAGACTTAATACAAAATCAAGACTGGCACAAAAAGTGATAGAAAATAATTTTTTTTAAAAAAGGATAGGATACCTTTCAAATCAATTATTAGAAAAAAATAGATTAATAAAACAATTAAGATCTGCAAAAACATATATACAAAGACAAAAGAATGGACTTAGCCAAAAATATGAAAATGTAAAGAAAGAAAACACTCATTTAAAGGAAAGTATTGAAATTATGAGAAAGGAAATTAGTGTATTAAAGAAAAATAACAATAACCTCCAATCATATTGTGAAAATTTAGAAAATAACAATGATGAAAAGACTTTAAACATGTTTAATAATTCCAAAAATTGTTTTAAAACTGAAACACAAGAGTGTGCATATGACCTTTTAAGTATGAATGTTACGAGCAGCAATATTTCTCGTGTGATTTCTAGAGTTTTAAAATTAGTAAACATAAAACCAGATCGTCTTCCTTCAGTTTCAACAGTTAATAACATGAATATTGAAAGGCTTATCGCCTCACAAAAACATTTGGCAGAAGTACTGCCACATGAGGAAAATTTGTGCCTGTTATCAGACGAAACGTCTAAATTTGGGGGAAAAGTTGAAGGTTTTCTTGTAAGAACAGAAAACAAGCAATACATTACATTAGGGTTAAGACAAATTGTTACAAAGTCAGGACAGGACACTATGGGAGCACTAAATAATATTCTTAATGATATTGAAAATGACATTTTACAATCATATAGGACAGATATTTTGAAAGAACAAATGGGAGAAAACTGGCATTCATTAAATGATGGAGAGCAAAAATCTTTAACATCTCTTAATAATTTTTTTTGTGGACTCCATGCTCTTGTACATATTGCAGAAACAGCGAGCGAAAGTTTAAAAATCATTGAAACTGGTCATTTTGATAAAGAAGTGCCAATATATGATTCAGCTTTTAGATTACATGAATCTGGAACAGTGAGATTAATTCGCACTGCCAGCAAAGCTTTTTCTTGTGGTGGGGATGCCAAGAGTGGTGTTTATGGACATTTTACCACTTTCAGCAAAGATTTCTTGAATGAAAATAAAATAAAAAGTGTGCCGATACAACGGTATCATGGGAATAGGTTCAATATTCTGTTGGAAAATGCAAGTTATGTGTATTTTATGCATGAAAACATTAAAGAATACCTTGACTTTGATGCATCAAACAGATTACTTCTATCTGTTAAACATGATGTTAATATTGATTTTGTTCTTGCTGGTGTCAAGGCATTAGGGTTGATACATTATTTCATAATGTCACCATTGTGGTTATTTATTGAACGAAAGGATGTTCATGTAATAGAAAGTTGTGTTTTTTTTACAAAATATGTGTTTACATTGAAAATGCAGGAAAAGATGTTGATAATTTTATTGAAGGTAAATTGATGTTAGAGGGGGAAAATATTCATAGAAGTAAATCTGATGTCATTTTGAACTACTTGTTAAGTCAGTCAAAATATGATAGTGATGTGGCATTAATACTACAATCAATGTTGCCTGCAATTTTAAATTTAATGGTTAACATTTTTACTGACTACATTGGAGATGGAAAATGGGCAAGCTGTTCATCAGAAATAAAGGCTGATACAAAAGCTGTACCTATGCACAACTAATATTCAGAATCATTGTTTGGACATGTAGACAGATTGCTCAGAGAGAAACCAAACATTTTATTTATTTCTCAAGAGGCATACATCATGTTCAGGGATGCCAATTTTCCGCGTATCCGCGGATTTCGAGGTCCTCAAACCACTTTTGAGAACGATGTAAATCCGAGGAGAAAATTAAATTTTGGGGGTGGGAGTCTCTTTTGCCGAGTTTGCTACCGTCCATTGTCCGCCGATTGTAAATGTTTAGACCGTACCGTAAATATTTAGACCGTACCGCTTTTCGGGTATGCTCAGTTATTGTCGCTATTATAGTAAGCCAATGAACGATAGCTTTAAATATACCGACCATTCTGCAAAACAAAATGTCGGCCGATTAGCAAGAAAATATTTTTTACATGAATAATGGCAGCAATTAACTGCAACAACGCTTCTAAGATCAAAGACTGTGACAAAAATGTTAAAAATAAGTTTAATTTGAAATGGTTAGAGAACATAGTAAATGTGAATATCGGATCAACCGAGAGAACCGTCTGCATTGGTGACGAATATTCCTGGACAAGCTTCGTGTCGACTATGTATTATGGTAGTCGAGGGTTCGTTGCAATCGAGGATCACGTCAAATCGTAATATTAATACAGTTATAGATACTGATTAATTTCATTGAAATTAAAATTAACTTTGTTACTGACAGTCAAAGTAATACAATATCATTTATACTGGTACTTAACTGTTTAACACAGACAACAAAAGTTAAAAGGATAAAACTCTGAAAAACACATTGAATATTGTAGGATAGACATGTCAGTTGCATCATAGTTTATTCCGTTTAATGTGTGCATGTAAGCAGTTATGTATACAGCATTGTAATTAACACCCATCTACTGCCTAGTGAGTAAAGTTGTGTTCTCATATTTCCAAGGCAATTACATTTTAATAGTTTCAAAAGCAAACCCAATAGTAATATTTATTTTTTAGTACACCTATACCTACCTAGGCTTGTCTGAATGTGGGGATTTTCTCTTTGGCATTTATCAAATATCTCAATGGTTGTTTAACAAAGACATTTTGGTCTTAAAAGGTATGAAATCTAAAAGTAAAATGGTGAAATAATTTACTGTATTCCTAGAAAAGATATCGTGCGTTTAAAGTTAGCGCTTTTCACGGTAGGCATGATTCTGCGAATCTTTATAGCCGCGAATATGTCACCTATAACAAAACCGCGAACATTTTTAGCTTCAACCAAATATAACATAAACGTGCAGAATATTTATTATAATCTACTTACACAAAAACATATAAACACAGGTGCTATAGAAATGTGTAAAGAATTATTTATGTATATTTTTGACACTAGTTTGCACGCTGGAAAAGAAAATATCAATTATTAGTAATTATCATGCTTATTGACGTTATTCGCTAGTGACGGCGTTGACAAACGCATTTACAGTTTGCGTACATTGAATGACTTGGATTTTATTTTGGAGTAGGTGTAATCCTTTGTTAAAAGTACACTTGTGCTACTTTTGATAACAGCTGTTATGTTATTATAATGAATGATGTTATAATATGATGTACAGTCCGATACTGTGTAAAAAAAACGTATCGACATTTTGAAGATAAAGTCAGTTATGATTCAAATGAGAATAAAAGCTAACGGGTCTGATTAAATCTTACTTAATCACATAGTGAAAAAGGTAAGGAAATATGAAAGTGTTCACGGAACAACCGTCCGTGTTCGACTAGTCAATAGATAAAAAGGTATCGAGTAACGTTGCGCTTTAGGCGCGACTCTAAAGCGCGACTTGTCAAAAAAAATAAAATAATTAAAAGTACCCAACAGGCAAGGTCATGCATCCAAGACGTAGCCTTCAAAAACTGTAATTTAGGTCGTACCAAAAACCGTAATTTAGGTCGTAGCGACTTAATATTCGCAAATTTGCGGTTACTGCAAATCCGCAAAAGTTTGTCTCCGCGAAAATGCCGACGTTGTGAACATTTCTAGGAATACAGTACTTTGCTCAGAATCTGAATAAAAAGAATATTTTTTTGCTCAGAATCTAAATAAAAAGAATATTTTTTTCCAGTCGTATAATGTAATATTTCTATAAAAATACAATAAAATAGTAAAGGTAAAACTACTGGCAGGTTCGTGAAGTCTAGGAGGCACTTTGGACTGTTTAAGCCTAATACCTTGGAAATATGGGAACCACGGAAATATGAGACTGGCTCCTTGAAATGGACATGAAGAAAAAACAAGAAATCTTGAATGAGTGTAGGAAAGAAATGAAATCACTGAG